TGAATTCTTAAAGAAGGGAAGAGTTGAATCCTGGATTTGCATGGGACCAGACAACTGGCAGAATCAGAAAGAGTTACAGCCTACGGTGACCAAAATAGACCACAGCCCTAGCAAGAATTTGTAACAATTACCTGATTAAAACTGTGGAAGGAGAATTCTTTGTAGATGGCATCTCTCTCACTTAATTCCGACCATCCTGCTGCTTTAAGGTCAAGTATAGCGTGGTTCCTCTCCTCTGCAGTCAACCTGTGAGTACCTGACGACTATGAAGAGAACACATTTCATATCTGAAAATGTAGACGTTTACTCAAACTCAAACTTACGGCTCCTTACCTTAAGCAGAGAAGTAGAAAAGTCTGAAAGGCAACAAATTCTAACCGTCTTTCATTCCTTTGTTCTCACAAGAGAGACCAAAGCAAGGCTAGCTCTGTGCAAAATAAGCTGCCTCCATGGTATGTAACCTCTGGCCCACTTACTGCTGCCTCAACCTTCACAATTCAGCTTCTCTGGTTGGTTGGCTTGTTGGTTGGTCAGTTGGTTGGTTGTTTTGAGACAGGGTCTCGCTCTATCGCCCAGGCTGGAGCATAGTGGTGCAATCACGGCTCACTGCAACCTCCGCCTCCTGGACTCAAGTGATCCTCCCACTTCAACCTCCCCAGTAGCTGGGACTACAGGTGCACACCACCACACCCAACTGATTTTTTGTATTTTTGGTAGAGACGGTTTTTCACCATGTTGCTCAGGCTGACCTTGAATTCCTGAGCTCAAGCGATCCACCAGCCTGGACCTCCCAAAGTGCTGGAATTACAGGCATAAGTGACCGTGCCCAGCCCTTCTGTGGCTTATTACAGATACAACAAAGATCAACTATTACCACTGGCCATCTTGGACACTGCAGAATACCAGGACTTGTGGCAAGTCTATTGGCAGGACCAGAATTAGAATTCAAGGCTCCAAACTCCTGGTCTATTGCTCTTCGGACAGCCCTACATCACCTCAGTAGTCTTCACTACTCTGTTGTATCTGTAATAAGCCAGAGAAGCTGAACTGTGATGTCTGAGGCAGCAGTAAGGGGGCCAGAGGGAACATACCATAGAGGCAGTTTATTTTGTACAGAGCTAGCCTTGTTTTGGTCTTTTGAGAACAAAGAAATGAAAGATAGTTTTAAGATTTGGAATTACCGGCCAGGCACGGTGGCTCAAGCCTGTAATCCCAGCACTTTTGGAGGCTGAGACAGGCGGATCATGAGATCAGGAGATCGAGACCATCCTGGCTAACACGGTGAAACTCCGTCTCTACTAAAAAATACAAAAAACTAGCCAGGCGACGTGGCAGGCGCCTGTAGTCCCAGCTACTCGGGAGGCTGAGGCAGGAGAATGGTGTAAACCCGGGAGGCGGAGCTTGCAGTGAGCTGAGATCTGGCCACTGCACTCCAGCCTGGGCGGCAGAGCGAGACTTCGTCTCAAAAAAAAAAAAAAAAAAGATTTGGAATTACCATCTCCTGTCACATCTAATGAAAACCAATCCCTGGATGGGGAAAAACAAATGCACAATTACATACGATTTTATCTAACTTCTGGGGGTCCACAGATCCTCTGGACTACAGGTAAAAAGCCCTGGCCTCAGTGGGGTGACTTTATGAAGCCCTTTTCTCAGAGCACCAGTCAGACAAACTCTCTCCATAGTTTGGCCAGAGTACTGCCCAGTCCAAAGCACTTGTGTGCACTGTCTGGCCTGTTTCTACTCACCATGGGGATGACATTCACAAAGCCAGGTTCTGTTGCTTAACAGGCCCACACTTCCCATGCTATTGGATTTTTAACTAAATAACTTCAAACATCAGGGTCAGAGAGAAGAGATGGACACTGGACTAGAAGTCAGGAAAGCAGGGTTCTCACTCCAGGCAATACTTCCTGTCTTAACTACTTGCAGAGTTACTGTAGGCTCAGGTGAGAGAGACGCTGTCACCCAGAAAGATGAACATTAGTGAAGGCTCCTCATCAAAGGGCAACTGTGGGCTAAGGTGCATTCCCTGGATTCTCTGCCATTAAGCTGCAACTCACTCCCACTTCAGAAATCCTAAAATCTTTTTTTTTTTTTTTTTTTTTTTTTTTTTTTGAGACGGAGTCTTGCTCTGTCACCCAGGCTGGAGTGCAGTGGCCGGATCTCAGCTCACTGCAAGCTCCGCCTCCCGGGTTTACGCCATTCTCCTGCCTCAGCCTCCCGAGTAGCTGGGACTACAGGCGCCCGCCACCGCGCCCGGCTAGTTTTTTTTTATTTTTAGTAGAGACGGGGTTTCACCGTGTTAGCCAGGATGGTCTCGATCTCCTGACCTCGTGATCCGCCCGCCTCGGCCTCCCAAAGTGCTGGGATTACAGGCTTGAGCCACCGCGCCCGGCCCCTAAAATCTTTTATCACTAATATTAATTAAGAGATCAAAAAGATTTTACCTTTAGACAACTTATTCTATGAAGATGAAGAAAAAAATACCAATGAATCAGTTTTCTAGTTTTTCTTCTTTGCTAGGTCGGCTATTCTTCCCCACAACTAACAAAAGGGTGAGAGTACTTTTTTTTTTTTTTTTTTTGACACCAAGTCTTGCTCTGTCGCCCAGGCTGGAGTGCCGTGGTGTGATCTCAGCTCACTGCAACCTCTGCCTCCCAGGTTCAAGCGATTCTTCTGCCTCAGCCACCTGAGTAGCTGTGATTACAGGTGTATGCCACCACACCCAGCTAATTTTTTGTATTTTTAGTAGAGACAGGGTTTCACATGTTGGCTATGCTGGTTTCAAACTCCTGACCTCAAGGGATACGCCCACCTCAGCCTCCCAAAGTGCTGGGATTACAGGCGTGAGCCACGGTGCCCAGCAGAGAATACTTTTTAATTAAACAAAAATATGCAAAAGCTTGTTATTAAAAACCACTTACTAGATTAGTTGGGCATGGAGGCACACGCCTGTAATCCCAGCCATCCAGCCTGGGCAACAGAGTGAGATTCCATCTCAAAAAAAAAAAAAAAAAAACCTTTACTAGGGCCGGGCACAGTGGCTCACATCTGTAATCCTGGCACTTTGGGAGGCTGAGGTGGGAGGATCATTTTAGGCCAGGAGTTGAAGACTAGCCTGGGCAACACAATGAGACCTCGTCTCTACAAAAAAAAATTTTTTTTAATTGCTGGGGTGGTGGACCATGTCCATAGTCCCAGCTACTTGGGAGGCTTAGGTGGGAGGATCACTTAAGACCAGGTGACTGAGGCTGCAGTGAGCTATGATCACCACTGCATTCCAGCCGGGGCAACAGAGTAAGACCCTGTCTTTTAAAAAAAGGAAAAAAAAAAGAAAGAAAGAAAAGTAAGTAATAAACAAACACCATTTACTATTAAGAATCAAAAGATTCATTCATCAGTTTCTCAGTGACAGTTCTGAAAAACTTACACGTACATCTATCATAAGAAATCTACAATTCTTGGCCAGGCGTGGTGGCTCATGCCTGTAATCCCAGCACTTTGGGAGGCTGAGGCGAGCAGATCACAAGGTCAGGAGTTCGAGGCCAGCCTGGCCAAGATGGTGAAACCCCATCTCTACTAAAAATACAAAAATTAGCCAGGCATGGTGGCGCGCACCTATAGCTCCAGCTACTCCGGAGGCTGAGGCATGAGAATCACTTGAACCCAGGAGGCGGAGGTTGCAGTGCGCCAAGATTGCACCACTGCACTCCAGTCTGGGCGACAGAGTGAGACTCCGTCTCAAAAAAAAGATAGAAAGAAATCTAAAATTCTTATTAAACACTTATTTTGTCAACTCGGAGGATTTTGGAAAAGAAACAGAATTACGTGTGTCCACATTGAGCAGCTGCAAAGAAAACCATTAAACATGTAGTGGGGGCAGGCACCTGGAGTCTGTGGAACACACTCTGAGCTGTTTTCTCTGAGTGCTGGACCATCCACATCCCCACTAAGCTCAATGGTATGCACTTTATGCCCACAACAGACACCTGCCCAGCAGCAGGGACCACGCCCAGGACTGGGAAATGGAGCCACTTCATCTACATAACATCAAAGGCCCCCAAGAGGGCACATTCGCAACGGAACTCTTCGTGGTGGGCTTAATTTTTCAGGGGGTGGGGAGTAGGCTAGGATTTGAAGAGAGTAAACTAGATCTAAGGCCTTTGTTACTTTTAGCTATGGGATGCTAAACTTCGCTTTTCTGAATTCCGGGATCTTTCTGTCTGTAGTGGGAATTTTATAATATCTACCTGCCAAGATTTTTTGAAAGGCTTAGATTACAGATCTTGAATGTGAGGGTACCTAGCATTGAGCCTGGCACGTGGCAGCGCTCAAATCATGTCTGTTGATTCATTCCTTCCCAGAACACCCTAATCTTACTGGATCACTAGCACCTGGGGCAGAGTACGCCTGAAGACACGCCTAGGTGACAGTAGGCACTCAACTTGTGTTCTCCCCTTCGGGGCCAAGAAGAGGCGAAGTGCTTGTCTTCCTCCGTCTTCGAGCTATTTTAAATTTCTTCTATTAAAGAATTTCAGGCCAGACGCAGTGGCTCGCGCCTGTAATCCCAGCACTTTGGGAGGCCGAGGCAGGTGGATCACCTTAGGTCAGGAGTTCCAGACCAGCCTGGCCAACATGGTGAAAACCCCTCTCTACTAAAAATATAAAAAATTACCTGGGCATAGTGGCACGCGCCTGTAATCTCAGCTACTCAGGAGGCTGAGGGGGGAGAATCGCTTGAACCCAGGTGACGGAGGTTGCAGTGAGCCGAAATCGCGCCACTGCACTCCAGGCTTGGCGATACAGCGAGACTCCGTCTCGAAAAAAACAAAACAAAACATTTCAAACTGAAATGGGCGGTTAAAATGCAACTTAAAATGAGATGGTGAGTTTAACGCATCACTTTTCCACTAGGTGGTGCTGCATGTTAAAACTTTATTAATTTCTACAGCAGGAAAACTGACGGCCCCTTGGAAGAGGAAAGAAAAGCCAGTATGTCACCAAAAAAAGACAATTTATTAATAACTCCTCCAAAATCTCTGTGGGCTCCCCTTGGAGTGAAGCGCGAACAGGGAGTCGCCATAGGCAGCCGGGCCCGCAGCGCCGTCCGTCCTCAGCACAGCGAGCGGCGGCGGCGGGCACCGAATTGTTCTGCAACTATTTTTCACATCTGCCTTTTGTAGTTGAACAAAATTCGTTCTCATTTGTTTCCGGTTGGCAAGTTCGTAGGCTTCGGCGGAGGTGTAAAGCCAAGGGGCAAGTGGCGGAGGCTGCGGACACCCCGGTCTCTGAGCGGCGCGCCGAGCAGGTGCTCAGTCCCAGGACGCGGTGACCCGACGCCCGAGCTCCAAGGGCCGGTCCACACCCGGGCCGCCCCAGTCCCGCTGGCCCCTCAGCCGACGCCGCCGGGCCTCGCGCCGCCCCCCCTGACCCCGGACCCCTGAATCCCGGTCCCGCGGGCGCTAGACACTCACCACAGCCGCGAGCCGTAGGCTCTGGCCTTGCAGCGCCGCCAACAAGCGCCGAGTCGCCCCCCGCGCCCAGAGCGCCGCCGCCATTGGCCGTCTGCCGAGGGCTGCCCTGCGCGCTGCCTGTCGGCAGCCCACGGCAGCCCCCGACCCGGCCCCGCCCACCTACCACCGCCCCGGTAGTCTCCCTGCGGAGCTGGCCTGGAGCAGGGGCTGTGTGTGGGCAGCGCCCGGCCTTCCCGCGGGCACAGGCGCAGCCCGGACCCCGAAGGCCCCCAGGATCTTCAGTGGTCGCCAGCGCTCTTGGCCGCCCCACAGCCGCAGGCCCAGCAGCCGCGCGCGGTCCCCGCCCCGTGCGGGCCCGTCGCGTCTGTGCCCCGGACGCAAGCCCGCCGGCGCGCGCTGGCCTTGCCCTCCGGTCCTCGCTGCGCTGGGAGGAATTTTGCCCCGCCTAGGGCGCCGGCCTCCTCCGCTTCGCTGGCGCGGGCACTGGCACCGGCACCGAGCTGGGGCGCCCCGCTGGGCGGGGCTGCAGCGCAGTCCATGCGGGTGGGAGGATGTCGCAGGCCAGGGCGGGGCAGTTCAGCGGCGGATGCTCGGGGCCACGCCCTCTGTCGTTCATTCAGTACTCCCTGGGGCAGTGAACCACGGCAGATCCCGTCGTGGGCTCCTAAGTCTTGCAGCCGTGGGTTCGAACGTAGGCTCTGTTCAGTCATAGCGCAGCTGCCAAGTCCTTGAGCCAGCTGGCTCGTCTGGGTTTGCCTGGATCAAAAAGTGTGGAAACCTGGCCTGTAATCACCTTCCAAACGTGTCCGTGCCCTGTGTACCCTCAGGTTCAGCACACAGTAGGAGCTCTGCAGACAGCTGTGAACAGATTTAGGTGAATCTTTTCTTGTATCATTTTTGGGGAGGTATTCTTTTATTTATTTTTGTCTTTTTTGAGATGTAATTGACATAGTATTAAGAATATTCACTTGGGCCGGGCGCGGTGGCTCAAGCCTGTAATCCCAGCACTTTGGGAGGCCGAGGCGGGTGGATCACGAGGTCAGGAGATCGAGACTATCCTGGCTAACATGGTGAAACCCCGTCTCTACTAAAAATATAAAAAACTAGCCGGGCGTGGTGGCGGGCGCCTGTAGTCTCAGCTACTTGGGAGGCTGAGGCGGGAGAATGGCGTGAACCCGGGAGGCGGAGCTTGCAGTGAGCCGAGATCACGCCACTGCACTCCAGCCTGGGAGACACAGCGAGACTCCGTCTCAAAAAAAAAAAAAATAAAAAATAAAAAAATAAAAAAAAAAAAAGAATATTCACTTGTATCTCTCTCTTTTTTTTTTTTTTTTTTTTTTTTTTTTGAGGCGGAGTCTCGCTCTGTCGCCCAGGCGCGATCTCGGCTCACTGCAACCTCTGCCTCCCGGGTTCACGCCATTCTCCTGCCTCAGCCTCCCGAGTAGCTGGGACTACAGGCACCCGCCACCATGCCCGGCTCACTTCGTTTTTGTATTTTTAGTAGAGACGGGGTCTCACCGTGTTAGCCAGGATGGCCTCCATCTGCTGACTTCGAGATCCGTCCGCCTCGGCCTTCCAAAGTGCTGGGATTACAGGCGTGAGCTATCGCGCTCGGCCTCTTTTTTTTTTTTTTTTTTTTTTTTTAATAGTTTAAGCAGGCTGGGCATGGTGGCTTGCACCTGTAATCACAGCACTTTGGGAGGACAAGGAAGGAGGATCACTTGAGGCCAGGTGTTCGAGATCTGCCTGGGCAACATGGCAAAACCGCGTCGCTATTAGAAATACAAAAATTAGCCACGCGTGGTGCCACGCGCCTGTAGTCCCAGCTACCCAGGAGGCTGAGATGGGAGGATGGCTTGAGCCCAGGAGGCTGCAGTGAGCCAAAATCACGCTACTGCATTCCATGGACAGCAAAATACCCTATCCCTCACCCCCCTCAAAAAAAAAATACAAAAAAAAAAAGTTTATGCAAATTAATAAGCAATTTTGCAGAGGAGTCCCTTAGCAAAGATATAGCAAAAAAAAAATTTTTTTAAGAACAAGAGTCCATTTAACTTCAACTTAGCAGTTGTTAGCGGTCCATCCATATGGACCTAGAAAAAATAAAGCATTTTGCCTCAAAGTAGCCCAAAATTCCTGGGCTTCTGTTCTTCCCATTTGCCCGCTTGACAAAATGTAACCATTTCGCCGGGCGCTGTGGCTCACACCTGTAATCCCAGCACTTTGGATGAGGCGGGTGGATCAATTGAGGCCAGGAGTTCAAGACCAGCCTGGCCAAAATGGTGAAACCCCGTCTCTACTAAAAATACAAAAACAGCCGGGCATGGTGGTGCGTGCCTGTAATCCCAGCTACTGAGGAAACTGAGGTAGGAGAATCGCTTGAACCCGGGAGGCGGAGGTTGCAGTGAGCTGAGATTGCAGCACTGCACTCCAGCCTGGCTACAGAGCAAGACTGTTAAAAAAAAAAAAAAAGATGTAACCATTTCAAATGCAAAACTCGGAATCACACTGGGGGCCCTGATCAAATGTCACTGGTCCTAAATAATTAAAAGTTGTATTTCCAACGTTTACATTGAGTGTTTATGATCATGAAAACTACTACTCAGATTTGCTCATTAAAGAAAGAACTGAAAAATGAACCGGTGGATGTGAGTTAACAAGTGAACCTTCATAATTTTCAGTAAATTTACTTTCATCGTTTTCCTTCCTTAATACCACTGTATGAAACTGTGGCATCTCGGATATAGTCACTGGCCAGGCAGAATGGCTCATGCCTGTAATTCCAACACTTTGAGAGGCTGAGGCGGGCAGATCACTCTAGCCCAGAAGTTTGAGACTAGGCTGGGCAACATGGTGAAACCCCGTCGCTACAAAAAAATATAAAAATTACTCGCGCATGGTGGCACATGCCTGTAGTCCCAGCTACTGAGGAAACTGAGGCAGGAGAATCTCTTGAACCTGGGAGGCAGAGGTTGCAAGATCGGGCCACTGCACTCCAGCCTGGGAGACAAGAGCGAAACTTCATTTCAAAAAAATAAAATAAATTTGATCATTCAGATCTAGTCAAAAAAGCAAACAGCAGATGCTAGGGCCCAGGGAAATGATGATGTCCACTGATAGGGGCTGTGAATTGTCTGCCCACACATGTAGCTCCCCAATTAATAGGATTTAAGTCCCTTAGCAAAGATTTACTGGCCACATCCTCTGTGGTGGGCACCATGCTTAGCTTGGGCTGTTTAGCTGGTCTTTGGTTACTTCTTTCCCCCTTTCACTTTCCCTCAACACTACTGGTGTTTTTTGTTTTTTCTGATTTTGGGGGGTTTTTTTGAGAAATTATCTTGCTCTGTCACCCAGGCTGCAGTGCAGTGACACCATCACGGCTCACTGAAGCAGTCCTCCCACCACAGCCTCCCAAAGTGCTAGGATTCCAGGCATGAGCCCCCGCACCTGGCAGCACCAGTGTTTCGAGGCTGATCCTCTCTATACTTGAACCTCCTCTCCAGGGAATGGCTCTGCTCCACATTTCCCTCCAGGGGAACCCCATGTAGCTGGGCCATAGTGCAGAGGCAGGGCAGGGTGCCATCCCACGTAAAGGTTTTGGAGTAAATTTAAAGCCTGGTCCAGCCACTGGAAGCTGCATGAACGAAAGCAAGTTATTGAGAGCCTCAGGTTTTTTCTTTTGCTTTAAGACAGGGTCTCAATCCTGATTGCCTAAGCTGGAGCGCAGTGGCATGATTACAGCTCACTGCAGCCTCAACCTCCTGGGTGATTCTCCCACCTCAGCTCCCCGAGTAGCTGGGACTACAGGGACGCACCACCACGCCCAGCTAATTTTTTGTATTTTTAGTAAAGACGGGGTTTCGCCATGTTAACCAGCCTACTCTTGAACTCCTGAGACTCAAGCAATCCACCTGCCTCAGCTTCCCAAAGTACTGGGATTATAGGCGTGAGCTACTGTGCCAAGCCAGTTTATTCTTTAAAATGAGGATATTAAACAAAATAGCATACGTAAAGCATCTAAAACAGTACTTGGCACTCACACAGTAATAAAGGTTATTATAAGAGGTGGACTCATCAAAGTTTTCCTTGCATTTGTATTTATAAGTACACACGTGAAGATTCAAATCCCAGCTTCATCAACTTACAATCTGTGTAACCTGGGCAAGTTATCTAACTCTCTATGCCTCAATTTGCTCATTTGTAAAATAGAAATAATGGGCCATTCTGAGATATGGTCCCCTCCTGCCAGCGACCACCCCAACCACAGCTGTTGGCAACATGACACATAAAAGTTGTAAACTCCCATTCATTATAACACTCTAAGAAGGAGACTCATCCGAGGTTTTATTTCTATAGAATTTAGGGTGCCTCATGAAATAAACGTTCAACTACTCTAAAACCCTGGAAACAATTAGTATAAAAGTAATTTATGATGCGGTAATTAGCTGTCGTATCTGAATTTAAGGGATCTTTTAGAAACAGCTTTTCAAAGTTTGTTTAGGCCAGGCGCAGTGGCTCACACCTTTAATCCCAACACTTTTGGGAGACTGAGGCAGGTGGATCACCTGAGGTCAGGAGTTTGAGACCAGCCTGGACAACATGGCAAAACCCTGTCTCTTCTAAAAATAGAAAAATTAGCTGGGTGTGATGGCGCATGCTTGTAGTCCCAGCTACTCAGGAGGCTGAGGCTGGAGAATTGCTAGAACCCGGGAGGGAGAGGTTGCAGTGAGCCAAGATTGCACCATTGCACTCCAGCCTGGGTGAGAGAGCAAGACGTCATCTTAAAAAATAAAAAAAATTTAAAAAATAAAAAAAAATAAAAGTTTGTTTAAATTACATGTTGTCTCTCTACTAAATGTGTCTTGAACTAGACTAGAATCAACTTGTGGGCAAGAAGAGTGTTCTATACTTTAATACTTCTTTTTTTCTTTTGATACGGAGTTTCGCTCTTGTTGCACAGGCTGGAGTGCAGTGGCATGATCTCGGCTCACTGCAACCTCTGCCTCCGGGGTTCAAGTGATTCTCCTGCCTCAGCTTCCCAAGTAGCTGGGATTACAGGCACCTGCCACCACACCAAGCTAATATTTTGTATTTTTAGTAGGGACAGGGTTTCACCAAGTTGGCCAGGCTGGTCTCAAAACTCCTGACCTCAAGTGATCCTCCCACCTTAGCCTCCCAAAGTGCTGGGATTACAGGCGTCAGCCACTGCGCCCAGCCTGCTGGGAACATTTTAAGGTTCAATTAATGCATGCTGGTTAGATAACTATGATTAAAATGTATACATTAGCATAGAACTGATAATAATTGAGCTTTAGTTACAGCATTTCCTTTCTCCTAACATCTCCCTTACCCAGAAACAACTTAAAACACTTCAAATTTTTTGAGTGAAAGTAGAGATCACAAACATCAAGGTATTTGATTCTTTTATTTTCCATCACTTGCTACTTGAGGGGGTCACACTAACCAATTCTCGTTACATACTTTCCTGCTATGGACTCTGGAAGAAAAATTGCAAAGAAACAGAAAACTAACCTTCTTAAACATATATAAGAAATCAAGGGTTTCCTAAAACTATTATCTGAGAGTCCTATTTTTGCCTTCTGTATAGTAAGCATGTCATTCTACTCACTGTTCTACCAGAATACATCTTCACATTTCAAACTGGATTACTTTTCAAATACTGGATTAAGTTCATGCAGTAAAAACAAGAATAGTCCACTCTATTGAATATTTTTGCATTTGCTTATTGCAATACTAGTTAAAACACCAGTTTATAATTTTTTTATACATTCAGTTGTTCAACAAATGATTCTTTTAATCTGACTGAAGTTTCAAGTCAACACGTTACTGGAGAAAATGTATGAAACTGTAGCACTAATTTCTGAAACGAAGGATTGAAGTTCCTCTTTCCAACTTCTTTCAGTCTATCACTACTCCACATGTTCCTGCTCTTGTCCTGGAATTAGCCACCGAATACTCTCAGTTCGAATGGTAGCATACATAATAAAACTAATTAAAAAGAATAAGGAAAATACAAGCAACCAGTCCACACTTTTTATCAAAGTGCTGGGAAGAGGGCCTATTTGGTCAGCTTGAGTAACCACCACATTCTTCTTGGCTTCTATACCTGAAAGAAAAATCACTGATTTCAAATCAGACAGAAAAAGCACCCACCACAGACTTTTTCTCAAGTATTATGTGTGGTATGCAAAATGACATGCAGTCCTAAAATAAGCACTGCCACTAGTATACATATTAATATCTGTGACGGATTTCACTTGCCTGTCAGTATAATTTGTAAGTTGCCTTTCTCCCCACCGCATCAAAGGATCAGGAATCCATTCAGCTATTCACAACTAAAACAGTAGAATTTCTGTGAACTCATCAGCAGTTTATTACTCAATGTGTTTATAAGAGTTGTCTTTTGGTGTCTTTTGAGACCAAAGTTCAGTAAGTAACTAGTAAAACTCCTCTCAGGCGTCTACAGAATGTTTTCACAGGTTAAGTAATGCTAAATGCGGCCGGGCGCGGTGGCTCAAGCCTGTAATCCCAGCACTTTGGGAGGCCGAGACGGGCGGATCACGAGGTCAGGAGATCGAGACCATCCTGGCTAACACGGTGAAACCCCGTCTCTACTAAAAAGTACAAAAAACTAGCCGGGCGAGGTGGCGGGCGCCTGTAGTCCCAGCTACTCGGGAGGCTGAGCCAGGAGAATGGCGTAAACCCGGGAGGCGGAGCTTGCAGTGAGCAGAGATCCGGCCACCGCACTCCAGCCTGGGTGACAGAGCGAGACTCCGTCTCAAAAAAAAAAAAAAAAAAAGTAATGCAAAATGTTTTTCGTTTTGTTTTTTTGAGACGGAGTCTTGCTCTGTCGCCCTGGCTGGAGTGCAGTGGCGCGATCCTTGGCTCACTGCAAGCTCCGCCTCTTGGGTTCAAGCGATTCTCCTGCCTTGGCCTCCCAAGTAGCTAGGATTTGGCTAATTTTTTTGTATTTTTAGTAGAGATGGGGTTTCACCATGTTGGCCAGGTTGGTCTTGAACTTCAGACCTCAGTTGATCGGCCCACCTCAGTCTCCCAAAGTGTTGGGATTACAGGCATGAGCCACCGCACCCGGCCCCAAAATGCTTTTAATAATTTACTGAAAGAACTGTTATAACAACAAGCCACCACTGGGAACAGGGATGACCAAAGATGCTCTGACTCCCAGATTTGTGTTCTAGGTTTTCTTAGAGCATTGAACAAAATGGCTTCCTCTCCACACATCAATCGAAATGACAATCAGGGATCCATGACAAGACTTGGACTAGCTAACCACCTTGTAATATCCTACTTTTACTCCTATCAGCCAACTCAGCTCTTTTTTCTTTAGTGTTAGCTAAAATGATTATATGCACCTTAATATATATGCAATGTGTGTTATAGTTTGTATTTATTTCCAGGGAGTACACTTTGGGAAGAGTAGGATGCTCACAAGTGAGACAGTGAGGCTTTAGAGGAATGAACTTTTCCAATGGAGGTAATTTTTTCAATTTACAATGCTTTACAATGTTTTACAAATAAAAAATAAGGCCATATGTTTTGGCAAATATTAAGGAATTAAGATAGCATCTACAAATGGATTAATAAATGGAACAGTAGCAGCAAAGAAAATGAACAAAACATAACCATACATGATAATGCAGGTGCATCTCACAAACATACTATTGCATGAAAAAATCAGACACAAAAGAAAAATACCCTGTATGTCTCCATTAATACGAAGTCCAAAACAAGTTAACACTGTCTATGATATTAGGAGTCAAGACTGTGGTTATCTTGGGGAAGGCAGGAGCAGTGGTGCTGAAGGGAGGCTGGTAATGTTCTGTTTCTTTTTTTTTTTTGAGACAGAGTCTCACTCTGTCAAGCAGGCTGGAATGCAGTACTGCGATCTCAACTCACTGAAGCCTCTGCCTCCTGGACTCAAGCAATTTTCATGCCTCAGACTCCCGAGTAGCTGGGACTACAAGCACCCACCACCATGCCCAGCTAGTTTTTGTATTTTTAGTAGAGACACGGTTTCGCCATGTTGGCCAGGCTGGTCTCGAACTCCTGGCCTCAAGTGATCCGCCCACACAGGCTTCCCAAAGTCTTGGGTTTACAGGCATAAACCAATGTTCTGTTTCTTGATCAGAGTGGTTACCCAGGGTATTCACTTTGTGAAAATTCATCACCCTGTACACTCATGATTTATGCATACCTTTGTGTAAATATTAAGTGAAAAATGTGCGTTAAAAGTTATAAGTAAAGTGTATGGTATGTGAATTATATTTCAATAAAACTTGTTTTAAAGTGTCTATAATAGGCCAGGCATGGTGGCTCACACCTGTAATCCCAGCATTCTGGGAGGCCGAGGCAGGCAGATCACTTGAGGTTAGGAGTGCAGGCCCGGCCTGGCCAAGGTGGTGAAACCCTGTCTCTACTAAAAAATATAACAATTAGCCAGGTGTGGTGGTGCCCACCTATAATCCCAGCTACTAGGAAGGCTAAGGCAGGAGAATCGTTTTAACCCAGGGGGCAGAGGTTGCAGTGAGCTGAGATTGTGCCACTGCACTCCAGTCTGGATGACGGAGCGAGATTACGTCTCAATCAATCAATAAAGTATCTATAAGAGACCGGGCACAGTGGCTCACACCTGTAGTCCCAGCACTTTGGGAGGCAGAGGCGGGTGGATCACTTGAGACCAGGAGATTGAGACCAGCCTGGCCAACAAGGCGAAACCCTGTCTCTACTAAAAATACATAAATTAGCTGGGCATGGTGGTACACAACTGTAATCCCAACTACTCAGGAGGCCGAGGCACACAAATCACTTGAACCTAGGAGGGGGAGGCTGCAGTGAGCCGAGATCACACCACTGCACTCCAGCCTGGGCAACAAAGACTCTGCCTCAAAAAAAAAGAAAAAAGGCGGGGCACGGTGGCTCACGCCTGTAATCCCAGCACCTTGGCAGGCCAAGGCGGGTGGATCACGAGGTCAGGAGATTGAGACCATCCTGGCTAACATGGTGAAACACCATCTCTACTAAAAAGACAAAAAATTATCTGGGCGAGGTGGTGGGCGCCTGTAGTCCCAGCTACTCGGGAGGCTGAGGCAGGAGAATGGCATGAACCCAGGAGGCGGAGCTTGCAGTGAGCTGAGATCACACCACTGCACTCCAGCCTGGGCGACAGAGGGAGACTCCGTCTCAAAAAAGAAAAAAAAAGTTGGGGGGGAAGTGTCTATAATAATTAAAATTACCTATTCATGTTAAGCTTCATACTGATTGGGAAGTATTTAACAGGATTATAACAGTTCATTAGAAGAGCGGTTTTACAACTCAAAGTCAGTCTTGAATCCTTCACTTAAGGATTATAGCAGATCAGAACCCACAGAAGGCACAGACCCCCAGCAATAGAATATCTTCCTCCTTAGCACATTACTTCCACATACCTGTCTGATTAAAAATGAAGATTTTCAGTGTTTCCAGTGTTCGATCTGTATGATTAAATCTAGCCATTGGTTTAGCTCCTTGAAATAATAAAATATTAGGAACAGCTACGGTGCCAAACCTGGTAGAAAGGCTACAAGAGAAAGAAGTAAAAAAACCTGAATTTATTATTAATAGAGGGCTTTCTCATACGATTACCATCTCAGAATGGACAAAAATAAATGAGGAAGTTGCATGTGACCTACAGAGATTTCTGACACTTGAAACTTTCGGCTTTTTCATTTGTTTCTGACCTCTTTGCTTATGGGTCATGGCTGGGGGCACTCCTTTTCTGCAATCTGAGTTGCCTTCAATTATAATATGGATCTACCCATGGCACAATTATTCCACTAGTTAAGTTCATGTCTACAGAAACCAGACCAGAAAACTCTAATTCATGGACAAAGCACACTCTGTCAATTTACTTGACAGAAAAAATTTCCAAGTCTTCAGAATGCCCATTCCTGTCCGTCAAAAAAAGATCAACTTACAGTAGGCAATTAGTTTGGTAAGCTGGCACAAAGGAGTACATGATCTAACAAACACACCAGGATGTTCACAATTAGGGCAGGATGACTTGTTTGGAAGTAATATAGCTGAGGGGGCTTATTTCACCTTTACATAATACAGACTAGTGGTGATAAGCTCCCAAGTCAAAACACTCGGGGTTGAAGCCTCAGTTCTGCCACTGAACCAGTGTGAAATCTGGGCAGATTATTTAACCTCGCTAAGCCTCAGTTTTCCACATTAGTAAAATAGTAATATTGTATAACCAGGATTTTTTTCTTTTGTATACATGCTGTAACTTAAATATTAACATAAGCAGCAAACATGTCCCAGCCCATATAATAAGCACAAGAGCCTTAGTCTCCATAATTAAGGCGCCACACCAGGTACAACATGGAGCTGAAGGAAAAAAGAAGAAAGCAGGTTGGGGAGGGAGTTGTGGGAGAGGCAGGAGGGACAGTGTGAGACCCAGAACCAAAGAGCACTGAGTATGCCTGGGGGCAGTGGAGGCCCCACCAAAGCTGGACACTGACGTGATCTGTCCTTCCAATCAGTCTGCTCCCTTGGGTCCGGTCACTTAGATATCACCCAGAAGCCTATATGAAAATTACTCATTTGTTGAGCCACTTCTTCTTCATAAACAGTTTCAGGTAAACATTGGCAATTATATTCCCACAATGAAAATCAGTGGAATACAATTTTTTTTTTTTGTTTTTTGAGACAGGGTCTCACTCTGTCGCCCAGGCTGGAGTACAGTGGCAGGATCATGGCTCACTGTGATCTTGACCTCCCCAGGCTCAGGCAATCCTTCCATCTCAGCCTCCCAAGTAGCTGGGGTACCACAGGTATGTGCCACCATCCTCAGTCAATTTTTTGTATTTTTTTTTTTTGTAGAGATGGGGTTCTGCCATGTTGTCCAGGCTGGTCTCAAACTCTTGGGCTCAAGCGATCCTTCTACCTCGGCCTCTCAAAGTGATGGGATTACAGGTGTGAGCCACTGCACCTGGCCTCAAGTACAGAGTAACAGAAGTTTACTCAACTTCATTTTACCACCAATTGACCATTTTTCAGATGTTCTAGATTTATTTACACACAACCTCCTTGTTGAGGCTGACCTGCTAAGAAGCATCTGATCTGGAAGAGAAGAACAGTTTATAACTCATGCACAATCGCGGCACTTAGGAGAAACATACCATCTCAACAAAGTTCTCTGTAACTTACTTTACTAAACATTTAAAAAAGACAGACCTCGGCCAGGCACAGTGGCTCACGCCTATAATCCCAGCACTTTGGGAGGCCAAGGCGGGCGGATCACAAAGTCAGGAGTTTGAGACCAGCCTGGCCAACATGGTGAAACCCTGTCTCTTCTAAAAATACAAAATTAGCCAGGCATGGTGGCAGGTGCCTGTAATCCCAGCTACTCAGGAGGCTGAGGCGGGAGAATCACTTGAACCCAGGAGGCGGAGGTTGCAGTGAGCCAAGATCACACCACTACACTCCAGCCTAGGAGACAGAGCGAGATTCCACCTAAAAAAAAAAAAAAAAAAAAAAAGACAAGCCTGTCTAGGCTAGTCTAGGCAGCCTAGGACTACTGCATGGCTGTAGTCCTACTACTCAGGAGGTTAAGTCAAGAGGATCCCTTGAGCCCAGGAGTTCAAAGCCAGCCTGGACAAAAACCCAGTGATTGATACACAAGAAATATAAAACAAAGGTAAATGTCATGTTAAAGAGCTAAATTAATTCATTACTTGATCGAGTGCCTACTACAGAACATGACTGCAAGAATAAGTACGGAGGAAAGAAAGAAGGAAAGAGGAAAAGGGAAAAGAAGGAAAGAAAAAGAAAGGAAGAAATCCTGAGTAGACACAAAACAGGGGTGCTGGGAATTAGGCACTTGGGATGGGGATTGAACCTGCTCGTTCAATCAAGTCACAAAGGAATATCCCACTGTGATAGCAATTGTGCTGATTCAGTCTGGCTACAGCCCTCAAAAGTCTTCTGGCCCCTCCCCTGCCATCAGGTGCTATCACCTGCCACCTTTAAATCCACCACACAGAGAACAGCCCACTTTCTTTAAAGGGCCTCCACAAAGTGACAGCTCCCTCAGGAGTATGACAATCCTCAATATTCACTCTTGCCTTGCCTTCAATCCCAGGACAAAGCTCATGCCCCCCTCCTCTGCTTCTAACTTAACTAATTAGGACCTCCAATAACTGCAACCATCAGGCAGGAGGATGGATGTAAACCCCACCAACGGAAGATACCTGCTGTGCTGAGATGCATCCAGTGCCAAAAAGTGAAGAGCTGGAAAAGCCCGGGGCAGAGAGTTAAAGTGAGGGGCCAAACTGGCAGAAAAGCGGCACCACGGGGTGTAAAACAGGACTAGAGTACAGTCACTACCGTTTGGGTTCAGAAAATCCATAAGGTCCTGTGGTAAAAGAAACAAGCATTAAAGTCAGCAGTAAAAGTACATTTTTCTGAAAGGATACCCAAGAAACAGGACACACCACTGCTCCAGGGAGAGAAACGGGTGGGTGGGAGCAGCGAGAGGAGGGACCCTCAGGAAACTTTTGGATTTTGAACCATATGAATCCAGGAATCAGCAAAAAAGTACGATCAAAAAGTACCACTTTTTTTAAGTCTTGCTGAATTAAGCAGAAAGTTTTAAACTTTCCTCTGCACTTTCCTAATATTACAACAGTTATTTTAATATTTTTCATAATTCATCATTTCAAATACAGGCATACCTCATTTGACTGCATTTCACTCCACTGCACTTTGCAGACATTGTATTTTTTGCAGATTGAAGGTTTGTGGCAACTCTGCATCGAGTAAGTTTTCAAATAGCATGTGCTCAATTTTGTGTCTGTGTCACATTTTGGTAATTCTTGCAATATTTCAAAGTTTTTCATTATTATTATATCTGTTATGGTGATCTATGATCAGTATCTTTGATGTTACTGTTGTCATTGTTTTGGGGTGCCACAAGCTGTACCCATAGAAGATAGTGAACTTTATCAATAAATGTCTAGTTCTGACTGCTCCACCGACCAGCTGTTCCACATCTCTCTCCCTCTCCTCTGGCCTCTCCCTCAGACATAACAATATTGAAATTAGATGAATTAATAACCCTGCAGTGGCCTCTGTTTAAGTGAAAGGAAGAGTTGCACAGCTCTCATTTTAAATCAAAGCCAAAAATGACTGATTAAGCTTAGTGAGGAAGCCATGACGAATGCCAACATAAGATACAGGCTGAAAGCTAGGCCTCTTACACCAAACAGCCACGTTATAAATGCAAAGGAAAAGTTTTTAAAGGAAGTTAATGTGCTACTCCATCCAGTGCAGTGACCTCTGATGCTTAAAAATAAAAATAAAAATAAAAATAAGTGCTACTCAGTGAATACACAAATGATAAGAAAGCGAAACAGCGTTATTGCTCATATGGAGAAAATCTTAATGCCATGGATAAAGATCAAACCAGTCACAACATTTAAGCCAAAGCCTAAATCCAGAGCAAGGCTCTCTCTTCAATTCTACAAAGGCTGAGAGAAGTGAGGAAGCTGCAGAGGAAAAGTCTGAAGTTAGCTGGGGTTGGCTCATGAGGTTTGAGAAAGAAGCTGTCTCTAGAACATAAAAGTGCAAGGTGAGGCAGCAAGTGCTGATAGAGAAGCTACAACATAGTAACATCAAAGACCAATGAAAAAAAAAAAGAGAGAAGCTGCAACAACTTACCCAGAACATCTAGCTAAGAGAATTGATGAAGGTGGCTATACTCAACAACCAATTTTCATGTAGATAAAAGAGCCTTCTATCGGAATAAGATGGCTTCTAAGACTTTCATAACTAGACAAGAGATGTCAATGCCTGGCTTCAAAGGACAGGCGGACTCTTTTTAGAGGCCAATGCAGCTGGTGTCTTATTTATTTATTTGACAATAAGTCTTATTTATCAAGGTCTTTCTCTGTCACCCAGGCTGGAGTACAGTGGCATAATCATGGCTCACGGCAGCCTCAACCTCCTGGGTTCAAGCAATCCTGCCTCAGTCTCCCAAGTAGCTGGTGCCCACCACCACGCCTGGCAAATTTTTGTACTTTTTGTAGAGACAGAGTTTCACCATGTTCCCCAGGCTGGTCTGGAACTCCTAGGTTTAAGCAATCCACCCACCTTGGCCTCTGAAAGTACTGGGATTACAGGTATGAGCAACCGCAGGGCCAATGCTCACTGCTCATTGCCCATTCTGAAAATCCTGGGGCCTTTAAAAATTATGCTAAATTTACTTTGCCAGTGCTCTAGAAAAGGAACAACAAAGCCTGGATGACAATATATCTGTTTACAGCATGGTTTCCTGAGTATTTTAGGCCCACTGTTGAGACCTACTGCTCAGAAAAAAAGATTCCTTTCAAAATATTATACTCATTGACGATGCATCTGGTCACCCAAGAGTTCTGGTGGAGATGCACAAGGAGATGAATGTTGTTTTCAGGCCTGCTAACACAGTATCCATTCTGCAGCCCACAAATCAAGGGGGGATTTCAACTTTTAACTCTTATTATTTAAGAAATATATTTCATAAGGCTATAGTTGCCATAGATAGCAATTCCTCTGATGGATTTGGGCAAAATGAACTGAAAACCTTCTGGAAATGATTTACCATTCTAGATGACTTTAAAAATATTTGTGATTCATGGGAGGTGGTCAAAATATCAACATTAACAGGCATTTGGAATAAGCTGACTCCAACCCTCATGGATGACGTTGAGGAGTTCAAGACTTCAATGGAGGGTAGAATTGCAGATGTGATACAAATAGCAAGAAAACTAGGATTAGAAGTGGAGTCTGAAGATAGGACTGAATTGCTACAATCTCATGATAAAACTTGAAGAGATGAGGAGTTGCTTTTTATGGATAAACAAAGAAAGTAATTTTTTGAGATGGAATCTACGCCTGGTGAAGATGCTGTGAACACTGTTGAAATGACGACAAAGGATTTACAATATTCCATAAACTTAGCTGATAATGCAGTCGCAGGGTTTGAGAGGATTGACTCCAAATTTGAAAGAAATTCTACTGTGGGTAAAATGCTATCAAATAGTGTTGCATGCTACAGAGAATTCTTTTGTGAAAGAAGAATCAATCAGTGTGGCAAACTTCATTGCTGTCTTAAGAAACTGTGGGCCACAGGCCAGGCGTGGTGGCTCCTGCCTGTAATCCCAGCACTTTGGAAGGCCAAGGTGGGCAGATCACTTGAGGTCAGGAGTTCGAGACCAGCCTGGCCAACATGGTGAAACCCTGTCTCTACTAAAAATACAAAAATCAGCTGGGTACGTGGTGCACACCTCTAATCCCAGCTACTTGGCAAGAGGTTGCAGTGGGAGAATAGCTCGAACCTGGTAGACGGAGGTTGCAGTGAGCCGAGATCAGGCCACTGCACTCCCGCCTGGGTGACACAGTGAGACTCCATCTCAAAAAAAAAAGAAAAAAAGAAAAAGAAAGAGAGAAACTGTGGACCAGGCATGGTGGTTCACAGCTCACAACACTTTGAGAGGCCAAGACAGGAGGATCACTTGAGCCCAGGAGTTTGAGACCAGCCTATGCAACATAGTTTGACCTCATCTCTACAGAAAAAAGAAAAAAATTAGCCAGGTATGGTGGCACATGCCTGTATTCCCAGCTACTCGGGAGGCTGAGCTGGGAGGATCACTTGAGCCTGGGAGGTCAAAGCTGCAGTGAGCCATGGTCTCACCACCGCATTCCAGCCTGGGTGACAGAGCAATACTCTTGTCTCAAAGAAATTGCCAGAGCCACCCCAACCCTCAGTAACTACCATCCTGATCAGTCAGCAGCCATCAACATCAAGGCAAGACCCTCTACCAGCAAAAAGATTACAACTCATTGAAGGCTCAACTGATCGTTAGCATTTTTTAGCAGTATTTTTAAATTAAGGTATATACATTTTTTAAACATAATGCTACTACATACTTAATAAACTACAATATAGTATGACTTCTGTATGCACTGGGAAACCAAAAAATTCATGTGATTTGCTACACTTCGATATTTGCTTTATCACAGTGGTCTGGAACCAAACCTGCAGTATCTTTGAGGAATGCCTACACTAAGTACTCACAGGGTCCGGACAATTGCCCCCACCTTTGAATTGTGCATCTCAAACCATCTAAAATGGAATTATTAGAGGACTATGATCTCAGATTCAAACTATCATCTCAGCAGAGCTAAGTATGAACTAAGCAGTCATATCGATGTATTTGGCCAAAGGTTAGATCAATTAAAGAGCACACTGTTCTAGCAAGCCGCAGTGTCTCACATCTGTAATCCCAACACTCTGGGAGGCCAAAGTGGGCAAATCAGTTGAAGTCAGGAGTTTGAGACCAGCCTGGCCAACATGGTAAAACCTCATTTCCACTAAAAATACAAAAATTAGCCAGGCGTGGTGGCATGTGCCCATAATCCCAGCTACTTGGGAGGCTGAGGCAGTAGAACCACTTGAACCCGGGAGGCAGAGGTCGTAGTGAACCCAGATCCTCCCATTGCACTCCAGCCTGGGCGACAGAGAGAGACTCTGTCTCAAAAAAAGAAAAAGAGTACACCATCCCTGCCACCACCTGTTTAATCCATAACTCAGATTGTTTAAACTGCTCTCTCCCAGTCATGTGAGTGACACCTGTGAGGGTCCCACAGACTGCAGCATCTACAGGCACTCAAGAGTGGATGCAAAGCCAGCGCCAAGCAGTGCCCTTGGAGGAGCTATGTGCAGTAAAGGTGCTGTGCCCTCATTGACAATAAGCAATCACAGCTCTTAGAGTCAGGATTTACCTGTCTTACATAAGCAGCGTGAATGCATCCTACCCTTCTGTTTTTGGAACCACCCCACAGAAACTGTCAGTCATTGATGAAAGAGAAACTTTTCATCAATATAACATATTTTCCAGGGGCATTACTAAATAATGGTAAATTATCATTTTACTAATCCAGATATGTTTAAGTTGCCTGTATAATAAATAAATACTTCATTTAGAAGAAGAAAAATGGCCGGGCATGGTGGCTCATGCCTGTAGTTCCAGCACTTTGGGAAGCCGAGGTGGGTGGATTACCTGAGGTCAGGAGTTTGAGACCAGTGTGGCCAACATGGTGAAACCCATTTCTACTAAAAATACAAAATTAGCCAGACATGGTGGTGCATGCTTGTAATCCCAGCTACACGGGAGACTGAGGCAGGAAAATCATTTGAACTCAGGAGGCGGAAGTTGCAGTGAGCCAAGATCATGCCACTGCACTCCAGCCTAGGTGACAAGATCAAAACTCTGTCTCAAACAGAAAAAAAATGCTATGATTTTGGTGCCAAGCAACGATCTGTCCACTGGGATCTTTATCGTGAGGTTTGGTGGTGGGACTGGCCCAAAGATAACTAGGTTTAGGCCACCTAAAAAGCATAATCAACACTAGTTATATCTCCTCGTTTCCCTATAAACATTACAGAGGGCAAAGTCGATTTTCACTAAAGCAGACATTAAATGCTATCTCGCTTACAATATGATCAAGATCATGACTTTCCATTTCAAAGTTGATAGGGTATTAATCATAAAATAAATGTACTGAAAAGGAGAAAAGCACTAAATAATGTTTCCTTACCTGTGACATATTTAAAATTTTCAGAGTGAAATTTTCTAATCCAGTAATGTTTCTCTCCTCACAGTTCACCTTTGGGGATTTCAGACTTTCAGTGTTATTGGAGTCCTCTGTCGGGGCTGCGTCCGATTCCGCCACTTCTGGCTCTGTGTAATACTCCTCTTCTCTATCCGGGAAGTGTGCTCCAGCACCATCCAAAGAGAAAAGGCTCTCTCGGAGGTTGCACCTTGAGTCCTCCTCTCCTCCAGCGCCACAGGTGCCGCCGCTAGGCTCTGAACTCACTTTGTCCTCAGCTTCCCCAGGAATCACAGACAGCATCACCATGTGATCGCTTTGAGTGTCCAGCCCCAGCACCGCATTGGCCTCTTCTGCCGCCCTGTCCTGGCCCATCGGGTCATGTAGGAGCTCCTCCTCACCCAGGTACACAGCCCCCACCTGAAGAGGGTGAGCAGGCTGCTCCTCTGACCATAAGCGACCACTTTCCTCTGCAACTAAAACATGCCAGCACATTCAGAGTCATACTTGACTTCAAAACAAATGAACCCCAAAGAATTATAGTTCCCCTCTAACATGAAATTTTCCCCTCTGGAGACAAAAAGGTCTCCTTTCGTTAAACTATCAGAGAGCTACCCACCATTTCCCAAGTTAGGAAGAAGGTCACGAGCAGGCACTATTAATAGATTAATGAATGTCAAAGAAGGCCAGGCACGGTGGCTCACGCCTGTAATCCTAGCACTTTGGGAGGCCCCAAGGCAGGCGGATCACTTGAGGTCAGGAGTTCAAGACTAGCTTGGCCAACATGGGGAAACCCTGTCTCTATTAAAAATGCAAAAATTAGCTGGGCATGGTGGCAGGCACCTGTAATCCCAGCTACTAGGGAGGCTAAGGCAAGGGGATCGCTTGAACCTAGGAGGCGGAGGTTGCAGTGAGCCAAGACTGTGCCACTGCACTCCAGTCTGGGTGACAGAGAAAGACTCCGTCTCAAAAAACAAACAAACAAACAAAATAATGAATGTCAAATAATAGACAAACACACAGCTCTGCCCTAAACTTGCTGCTTGCCATGCGGATCATAACCAAAAACATCCCAGTTAGATATCTAATTAGGAAAACAGAATATAAACACTTAACATTTTTTGATAAGATTTTCATTTGTATAGTATCATATAGTATCCAAGAAAATGATCATAGTTTTATGCAAGATTCTACTAGAGCAAAGCATCTTTGCAAACATTATAACCGTTCTGTGAGATGGGCAAGACAAGGGTTATCAAGCCCACTGAACAGGTAACTAGGCAAGGCACAGAGAGGCTCAGCACAGTGTCCGATGGCACACAGATAGTAAGCAGCAAAGCCAAGTCTGGGAGCAAAGTCTTCTGGCTGCTACTCCAGAACGAGCCGTAGGCCCCCTGCCATAATACCTCAGGGATGCTGAGCCACAATGCCTGAAGAACTGCTCAAGCTACACAGCAGCTCCTTCCTGAGGTAGCCTCTGACAACTGGACTCTGCTCTCCTGCCTGCTACCCTTGGGAGTGCTGGGAGATGGGTTCGGCAGCAGCAGGAGGAAGAAGAGAACTTTCTCCCACTTTGGAGCTAGAAGGTGGATCTTGAGCATAATGCTCAGATAAGGGAAGAGTCCCAGGCAGTCCCATACATCCATTTACCCATCTCCACTCACCTCCGTAGCAATGCCTCCTGCCCTCCAACTCTTATCAACTCAACACCAGCTGCCAGACTTTGTACCAGGGACGAACCAGCAGAAACCAATGAGGCCAGCAGCCCTCAGGAAACCTCACCATGTGGTTAGGAAACCACCAGCTGGGTGATGAGCTCTGCATGCCAACAGCATGTCACTGGAGTGTCAGTAACCAACTGACTTCAAAGTTGGGAAGGTCTGGGGGCTTCCTAAGGTATGACATTTGTATAAGATCTCAAAGAATATCCCTGTAGAGTTTTTTGTTGTTGCTGATGCATAATAGATGTACATAGTTTCAAAGCACATGTGATAATCAATATATTCATGCAATTTGTAAAGATCAGATCCATGCATTGGGGATATCCATCACCTTAAATATTTGTCTTTTCTTCATGCTAGAATCATTCAAATTCTTCTCTTCTAGCTATTTTGAAATATACAATAGGCTATTATGAGCTACAGTTACCCAACGGATCTACCTCGCACTAGGGCATAGAGCTCTGTGGATTCATTCAGAGATTCAAAAACATTATCTGGGAATTCTGCTTCTGGCCAAGATGGAATAACAAGAACCAGATTTACCTTCCCTACTGAAACAACCAAATAAACAGATAATATATATAAAACAACAGTTTCAGGAAATTAGTTATCAGGCAACAGAGGATAGTGACATCCGAGAAACAGGCGACAAATGAAGAGAACCCTACAACTGCTCCAACTTACTGCCTTGACGGCGTTCCCACTGTGGCTCAAGGAGGGGAAATCCCGGCAGAGTCCAGCAGACCCTCCCAGTTGAAGCGATGGAGCTAAGAGTCCAAGGAGACCAAGAAGCAATAGTTTGCAAAACAGAATACTGCAGATGAGAGCGCTATATAGAGAGGGGACTCCAGAGATCTGTAGAGGCCCCCTGCTAAGTATACAGCAGGGTACTGGTCAGCACATGCATGTGAGTAAACTACCCAATGCCAGAGAAAGAACTATCAGAAAGGATGAGAAGGAACAGTATCCAACATTCACTCAGAGCAGGGAATGGTACCTTTTCTTACCAGCTAGACTGGAAAACTTCGTAATTCACAGGGCACTGAGTAGAGTATACAAAAGGCCCTGCCTCAGTAGTGGGACACTATTAACCGTAAAGAAAATACAGCTTGCTTGCTTAAAAGCAAAACCTGAAAGAACCAAGCTGTTCTCAAGTAACTTAACTGTACCCCAGAACAAAGCTTGAGAATATATATAGGGGGCCAGGCACGGTGGCTCACGCCTGTAGTCCCAGCAATTTGGGAGGCCAAGATGGGTGGATCACCTGAGGTCAGGAGTTTGAGACCAGCTTGACCAACATGGTGAAACCCCGTCTCTACTAAAATATTAAAAATTAGCCATGCATGGTGGCGGGCACCTGTAATTTCAGCTACTCAGGACGCTAAGGCAGGAGAATCACTTGAACCCAGGAGGTGGAGGTTGCAGTGAGCAGAGATCGTGCCATTGCACTCCAGCCTGGACAGCAAGAGCAAAACTCTGTCTCAGAGAAAAAAAAAAAAGAATATGTATAGGGAATCTAAAATATCCAGCATTCAACAAAGTAAAATTCATGCCTGGCATCCAATAAAAACTTATCAGACATATAAGGAAGCAGGCAAATAGGACACATAATGAGAAAAATCAATCAAGCAACACTGACCCAGAACTTGCACCCATGTCAGAATTAGCAGACGAGGATATTAAAACAATAATTATAACTGTATTACGTTCAAAAAGTAAAGTAGATATCAAGATATTAAAAAATATAAAAATAAAAATAAAAACCATCAAACTGTACCTTTTTTTTTTCTTTTTGAGACTGAGTCTCGCTCTGTTGTCCAGGTTGGAGTGCAGTGGCATGATCTCAGCTCACTGCAGCCTCCGCCTCCCAGGTTCAAGCAATTCTCCTGCCGCAGCCTCCCGAGTAGTTGGGATTACAGGTGCCCGCCACCACACCCGGCTAATTTTTATATATTTTAGTGGAGATGGGGTTTCACCATGTTGGCCAGGCTGGTCTCGAATTCCTGACCTTGGGTGATCCTCCTGCCTTGGCCTCCCAAACTGCTGGGATTGCAGGCATGAGCCCACCACGCCTGGCTTTCTTTCCTTTTTCTTTCTTCTTTTTTTTTTTTTTTGAGATAGAGTCTCCCTCTACTGCACAGGTTGGAGTGCGGTGACACAATGTGGGCTCACTGCAACCTCCGCCTCCCAGGTTCAAGGGATTCTCCTGCCTCAGCTTCCCGAGTAGCTGGGATTACAGGTACCCGCCACCGCGCCCGGCTAATTTTTGTATTTTTCAATAGAGATGAGGTTTCAACGTATTGGCCAGGTTGGTCTCAAACTCCTGGCCCCAAGTGATCTGCCCACCTCGGCCTCCCAAAGTGCTGGGATTACAGGTGTGAGCCACTGAGGTACCAGGCCTGGCCTTTTTTTTTTTTTTTTTTTTTTTTTTTTTGAGACAGGGTCTCGCTCTGTCACCCAGGCTGGAGTGCAGTGGCACAACCACCTCCCAGGTTCAAGCAATTCTCCCACCTCAGCCTCCCAAGTAGCTAGGATTACAGGCGTGAGCCACTGCACCCAGCTAATTATTATGTATTTTTGCTAGAGACGGGATTTTGCCATGTTGGCCAGGCTGGTCTCAAACTCCTGGCCTCAAGTGATCTACCCACCTCAGCCTCCCAAATTCTGGGATTATAGGCACGATCCACCGCGCCCATCCCAAATCATACTTTTAAAGATGTAAACTACAGTAACTACATTGTCTGAGATGAAAACTGCACTGTATGAGATTAATGGCAAATTAGACAATGCAGAAGAAAATAGTCAACTTGAAGACAGCAATAGAACCTATCCAAAATGAAACACACAGGAAAAAAAAAGAATGGAAAGAAATTAAGAGCAGCAGTGGGCTGTAGGACAATTTCAAGTGGCCTAATGTACAGATAACTGGAGTACTGGCAAGAGAATAGAATGGAGGAACAGAAAAATATTTGAAGAAATCATAGCCAAAAACTTTCCAAACTTGGTAAAAACTATAAATCCACAGATCCAAGAAACTCAACAAAACCCAAACTCAATGAACTACAACAAAGCACATCACAATCAAATTGCTCAAAACCAGTTACAAAGAAAAAAATCTTAAAAGCAGCCAGAGGGGGGAAAAAACAACATCATGTAGCGAGGAACAAAGGACAACAACAGGTTTCTCACTGAAAACAAAGCAAGCCAGAGCGGCATCTCTGACTACAAAAACTACAATGTCTGAGATGAAAAAAAAACTGCACTGCATGAGATTAATGGCAAATTAGACATCAGAGAAGAAAAAACCTATAAATCTAGAATTCTGTATATGGAAAAAATATCTTTCAAAAACAAAGGTGGCATACATCAGTAATCCCAGCTACTCAGGAGGCTGAGGCAGGAGAATCACTTAGACCCAGGAGACAGAGGTTGCAGTGAGCCGAGAGATTGTGCCACTGCACTCCAGCCGGGGCAACAGAGTGAGACTCCATCTCAAAAAAAAAAAAAAGAAAAAAAAATTCTTTTGGCTGGGCACAGTGGCTCACGCCTGTAATCCCAGCACTTTGGGAGACCGAGGTGGGTGGATCACTTGAGGTCAGGAGTTCCAGAACAGCCTAGCCAACATGGTGAAACCCCATATCTACTAACAATACAAAAAAAAATTAGCCAGGCATAGTAGCGGGTGCCTGTAATCCCAACTACTTGGGAGGCTGAGTCAAGAGAATCGCTTCAACCGGGGAGGCAGAGGTTGCAGT